AAGACAGAAAAACATTCAAAAGCAGCCCAAAACCTCATAAACTGGAGTGGATTCTTCTTCCATCCATGTTTTTATTGTACTTTTTTTTGCCCAAAGTACTGCATGTGATGTTCACTTGCAAATAGTGCCAAAATAAGCTTAAAATGGCAATGATATGGTATAAAAATGGTAGGCTACAACTTGTGACCTTCAGGTGGTGAGGTTCTTGGCACACTGGAAATGCTTTCCAACATCTGGTTTGAACTAAAGGCTATCAACTATCCACCACTCTAAAGCAGGGCTGTACCATACATTAATTTTTCACTCCTCCTTGGCGATTGGTTCAGAAAAGGACATCAAAAGATATGTTATTTATCCAGAAATCACCTCAGCATCATGCTCCATGAATACATTAGCAGTTTGCATCTGTGCGTGACTGTGTGCCTGTATCTATGCTTGTCCCCCGGGATCTCGCGTGGCCTCAGCAGAAACAGCGCTTATCTCCTGCGATCGAGTCTGATGCTCTAAAGCTGCTGCCATCAGCCACAAACTCATTAATTACTCTTTAGTATCAAGCCATAATTAGAGACACCAATCAGGCCCCCGCTCTACCAGACCTCCCCCCACCCTTCCACCTCCCCCCCCCACCCCCAACGCCTCCCATTCCCTATTAGCACTCCACACCTTACTGTGTGCAAGTGAGTTAAGCTAGTTGCTGCGCAGTAGCACAATGCTGCAATGAGCTCCCCCATGTGTAAGATTAGGCCGCATGCGGTTAGATAGGAGAAGAAGAGGGAGGATGGATGAATCAGGCTCGATGTGTGTTGGCAGGAAATAACGAAGTAAGAGAGGAAGGAAAGCCAGAGATAGTGAGGTGAAGGTGAGAAGAAATACAAGAGGGAGATGAGGTGATGTTGGCGCTCAGGTGGAGCATTAATTTGCCATTAATTATGTCATCATCGCTTTGGGTCACCCCCCTGCTGCACACGCACAGCTCTCCTTGTCTCCCACTCCTGATGAGTGGATCACAGCAGAGGGGAAGAGAAAACATCTGATTAAATCTGTCTTGTCTGTCTCTGCACTTGGAAGAGGGTAAAATGGGGACAAGAGCTAAGAGTTAGGAGGGTGATGGTTGGGAGTTTTAAGGACGGTGATAGGTTTAATAATGTGTGAAGGAGAGCGACAGGAGGATTTCCTGGTAGGTCATTTTCCTTTCATCACAAAAAAAAAATCTGTAGTCTAAGACACCCAAGGGATGTTTGACGTGTTACATAATCAGTTTTATTTTTAAAGGCACTTTGAAATTAATTTATGGAGGCTATTTTTGAGATATAACTAATGGCAATGTGGCCTTTGAGAGAGATTGGAGTCAAAGTGGAGAACTGCTGTTATTATTTGAGTGATTTGCACTTTTTAGTAAGATTGTAGGTCTTCTGCTTACATGATGGGTACAGCTTTAGATGAATGGCCATGCAACAAACTAAACACATTTCCAATGATGAAAGTGACTGGAAGAGAATTTCAACAAACTAGACTGACGTTGCCTTTTTAATCACAATAGCGAAAGTAGAGAAGTGGCGGTCCTGGTTTTGTGCATCACTATCATGGCTTACAGGGAACCTTAATGAAACTGAGCCATAATTAATTACGCCTGTAATTTATTTCTTTTCGTACTGTGACAAGACAAAATAAAGTATCTGCTGTGTTAAAAGGTCTATTAGCACAGAAACAAGGAAACACAGATCATCCAGCTTGATGACGATATGGGACAACTTGTGTAAGTGTTCCTGAAATGAATGTACCAGTGTGTTTGTTTGGTCTTTAAGAGTATACTTGGAAAGTTGCTGTTAAACTTTTTTTTTTTTTTTTTTTTTTACTGAACCCATGCCCTACAGCAATCATAGAGAGGTGAGCAAGTCTTGATAGGGATCCTGTAGCTTTTAGGAAGTCAGGATCTTAGTGATGGACACTCTCGCGAGCGGAATCTTAGACTTTAAAGTTTAATGCAGATTGCCAGCTCTCTAAGCCACACATTAAACCTTTACTTAAAGACTTCTGGAACCCCTTATGCACACAATGTTTCATATTCATCCTTTTGGATTTATTCCAAACTGCAGCAGACTTCTTATACAAGCCTTCAAGCAACGGTTGAAGTAGTTTGCACACTGCCAAAATGAATTTAGAAAAGACAATATCCTGTTTTAGAATGAGATGTCATTTGTTTCTCATTAAAGATAAACACTGTTATCAAGCTGTTTCAAGATAATTGGTCTTGAGATATCTTAGAACACTATTCAATTTATTTTTTTAGCTTGAGGCCGTTTATTTGGTGGTCAACACTGTGATATCCTAAAATATCTGATCTTGAGACTTACTTCAAGAAAAAGTTCATTACCTGTACAGATTTAGTCTTTGTGGTTATTGCTGAAACATAAAAGAAGAAGTAGATCCATAGCCAAAAGCACAAACACTGAAAAGTCCCATTAAAACTCCCAAATTGATCGACAGGTCTTTTAATACAGGGACCAACATTAGTCAACAACTGAATCCAAGTTATTAATGTTTGCTGGTGCTGAAAGGTGTGTTTACATCGGTATGAGGAAAATTGAAGCCATCCCAAGTAATGCAAAGACCCCTCTGCAATGTAGTTTATACAGCCTAAAAACTAAATGGTGAATCATTGTATGATCTCTGTGAGACACACTGGACTAAAATGACTCTATATTTATTGCATTAAAAGACGTCCACCTTATCACCTTTAACATGTTGTCTTACTTTTGTCCAGGTCTCGTCAGGACCAGAGCTGTTAACTGTTCTTTCAGCAGTAAATCCAAGGACTTACTTAGAACTTCTGACAACACTAACCTTTCGCCTTTGCTCAGCACCAGAGAGGTCTCTTTTTGGTGAACACCTGTTCTTTGACTATGCACTTTTCTTGCATCTTGTAACAGCTAATACACATTTCCAGTGCATATTATAACCTTTCAGGCATCACCCCCTTGTGAAAACATTGAGTACTGAGGCATCTCATAGCCTAATCATTAGCGTTCAGCAGACTTTGTTGGATCTGCTCTCGGTTCCTGTCTCTCTGTAACCAATACAGACAAAAATACGACTTTTTTTCCTTTTTTTAAAAAAGAAAGGACCATGTCTCAAACCTTTGATCCTTTGAATGGTGGTTGTCTCTAAAATGTCTTACAGTAGTGCTTAAACTTAAGGGCAAATCATAGCTTTCAGAAGGATCTTAGAAATACAGAGCACAAAGACTGCTTTTGGCTATAACTTACCAACAGTTTCAAACAAAATGCTTCCTTTTAATTCCTTTAAATATCACTGTACCTTTCAACTGTCCTTGCGCTTCACTTAGTCTGGGGTGAAACATGATGCTAACAAAACTTAATGGTTTGCGCTTTCAAATTTTCATCAGTTTTACTCCTCGGTTTAACAGCTCTGCAAGCAGCACCATTGGTTTGGTGACCTTTTGGAGGTGTTTTTTTTTTTTGCTGAACACTCTGTGGTCACCTTCAGGACAACACTACTACTGACCAGTAAGATGTCACCAGTGTTTTAATCCTGTCTTTGTGATCATTCATCGACACGTTATGCAATCTGTATACTTTCAGACAGTTTAACCTTTTAATTATGCATCATTTTATGTATTTTTGGAGCCTAGCTACATCCTAAAATGTTATAAGTATAAATCAATTAACTGACCCTTTTTTTTTTCAAACAAATTTGAACTCTGTTTGGAAAAGTGAAGTCCTAGTAATGGGTAACGATAAAATTGATGTGGCTGGGGTGGCTAATAATAGGTCTTATTTTGGAGGCATCGCATACAACTTCACACTAGTGGAAAATTAATCATTTCAGTGACCAACTGAATTTTGGAGATATAGCAGTTTTCTTTTTCTTTTTTTTTTTTCACTTTGCAGTCAGCCAGAAAGTGAGAAGTGCTGAATCCTCATAAGCACTCAAGGACATCTCTACCCTGGAGCTTTGCCTGGGTGGGTCTGTCTGTTAGCAGTTAGTAGTGTCCCCAGCCAGCCTTTAGCTCCAAGGGCGGTCTCTACAACAATATCACTACACCAAGTAAGGAAGGACCTGCTCCCAGATGCCTGAGTGGATGAATAATGACACTAACACAGTTTCGCTCTCCCCCTCTCTGATAATGAGGAACAGAAGAGCAGAACCTCCCCGAGGCGCCGCACCTGGACTGGACTGCCTTCCTGTCTGCCCTAGCCGCCATCCCTCTCAGGAGATATGCAGAGAACAGTGAGACACTGGCCTTCTGCCAGGTTCTCAGTCTTAGTTACACTCAATCACACTCAGTTTAGGCTAATTGTGAAATTATGAAACATCTTATAAGGTTACCAGACTGTGTTGGACTGCTGTTTAAAAACTAAATGTTTTTTTTTCCTTTTTCTTGCACATTTAGCTTTTATATAAGCTGTCTGACTTCCTCACCTCCACACCTATATTTTTCTCATTCTCTCTACTTCTCACATTTTTCCCTCCAGAGAAGCTCTGCCAAGTGGAGTCAATTAAAACTGTACATCTAAGTGAGAATTGCCTAAGTGTGTATGTGTCTGTGTGTATGGTTTCATAACTGTGCTGTGTGCTTCTTTGTATAAAAGTGTGAATCTGTGGTATTTTCAAATTTGTGTGTGTGAATGTGCATGTCTTTGTGTGTCTGAGTGTGTGTGTGTAAAAGAGTATGTGTAGAGGTAGAGGCTCCCTTGGGGCCTGGCAGTATGGCGCTGTAGCGCTGCACACTCCTCCTGTGAAAACGCCTCCAATGGGACCAGGACAGCTGTGGCCAACCTATACTGCTTTGTGGGCCATAACAAGCATTATGACACACAGACACACACATACACGCACACACACCTATTACTCCAATCCTGGCAACTCTGTCTGGCTGCCTGGGTGCCTCCTTGTTTTGTCTGTCAGGAACTATCTTTCTCTCTCTCTCTCTTTCGTTCTGTCTCTCGCTCACACACACACACACACACACACACACACACACAAACCTTCACCCTATCTCTCGCCTTCTCATCCATTCTCTAGCACAAGTGATGCTTCCCTGCAATTGTGATTTTAAAATTTTTTCCCCCCATTTTAATCATGGTGTCCACTTCCCACACGCAGTGAGTTGGTGTCCTGGTCAAATGCTGCAAACAGGGGTTGTCGCCCCATTGTGAGAAGAGTTGTATGTTAATAACAAAATAAGGAAACACAAGGAAAAAATGAATTTGCAAGCAGCTCACACATATTCGACGTGTCAGTTACTGCACAAAAGCAACTGACAAACAGAAGTAGCTCAGGAAAATTCCCCTTCAGACTCACTAAATTGCAAGGAAAAGCTCACTTGGTTGTGTTTTTTGTGGGGAAAAAAATCATTCTACATGGTCATATTTAAACAAATGTGACAACAGAGACATCGTTTTCTTCGCATTTCATTTATTTAACAGTCACCAGATGATGAGATACATTCTTTTAAAAAAAGAAATAGACAACAAAACTGATATTATTTTGAGATTTTAAAAACTATTATACAATTTTTTTAATATATAGATTTTGTACAAAATAAAAGTCAGTAAAAGGGTCGGAGGGAGTGACATCTTAAAAAACAGACAAGAAGAGGAAGGGACAGGCGTTGACTCAAACGATTACCACATTTAGGAGTGACAAAGACCAATCTCTTTCATAAATAAATAGAGGAAAATTAGACATCATATATAGCTATCTTTCCAATAGCAGGGCATTGATAAACGTCTGTAGCATAGGATATAACATAACCGCTTTGCGAGGCCCAGTTGCTTATAAAATTTCACGCATTTTCCGCTCAGAGATTAAATGGAACCAGTGCGCTAAAAGCCCTGAAATAAAGGTATTTACCTCAATAATGGGTCTGATAGTCTGTGCCATGCTTGACCTTTGGCTCTAACAATAACCCCCCCACCCCCACACTCCTTCTTTTCCTTTGTGTGCCGTACTTTGTACAGACCCAGTGCGGAGAGTCTCCTTGAGGGAATTAGAGAATAGGGGTGTCCTCTTTTCTTCTCTCTCTCAAGGCCAGTGAGAAATTAACTGCAGACTCCCCCACTCACAAACGCAGAAACAACTGAGCAGAGCACAGCACATATCGGAGGGGTGCACGCTGTTGAAGCTTTGGAAGGTCATACTGCGCTACCAAAATAATTTCACCAGTGGATTCCACCCTTACACTATGGATATTTCAGCACTGTCTTCATCAGTCCTTACAATTTCAACAGTACAACAACAACTACAAGACAACAGAATAAACACACAAAAAGTGGATGCGGATGGCTGTGAAGCATTACAACCCTATCAGACACAGACTCATGCCACTGAGATTGGCTGATTGTTTCTTGTTCCTTAAACATCTCCCTTTTCACCTGTTTGAGTATTTGAAGTGCCGGGTATAAGCACTGAAAACATGGGAACTAAATGGAGACAATGGAAACGATTTACAATAGGAGTACATGACCTGTTTTGAGACGCACACATCCAAGAGGAATGGAAACTAAGGCTGATGATTGATCCCACTGCAACAACAGGCTTTTGTTCTATCCTTGTCTCCGTCTTTTCTTTTTGTTTACCCATTTTGAGCAGGCATGTGGCCAGTGACATTGGCCCTTCTCAGAGCAGGACAGCAGGCAGAGTGACTTGGCGTTAATCACCATTTTGTCTCACTTTCTTGGCGCATTAAGCTGGAGAAGCAAGAGGTGGCCCGGACAGCCGAGGTGAGAGATGGGAGGACAACACGTTAGCCTCTCAATAATGACACATTGCTGCCGCATCACTTTGGAGATTAAAAGCAAGATGCTGAATTTCAATCAACCTACATTAATGGCTTAGTGTGAGGAATGGTCACTTTGTCTCCACTCGCAGACAGAGACAGAGAAGGAGAGAGAGGGAGACTAGCACAAGAGGCCCAGGTGAGACAAGGTGATATGACATTTTAATTCACCAAATTGCGCGCTGGCCACTAATGATAGAATCCATTTAACGACACGATGACAATATTCTCGAACCAATAGCAAAGAAGCCGAACAACAAAATGTTGCATCCGAGAGAAAAGTCAAAGTGCAAGACTATAGCTATAAACAATAGGGCTGCTGATGTAAGATAATTACGTGGAGCTTATGAACAAGTGAATGTCTTTCAAATGATGAACTGGCTTCTGATCGGACCTCTGTTTAAGTCTAGTGTACAATTGAATTTCAGCCAATCTTGAGGGATATTGCATTAAATAATATATTAAATTGAGGTATAAATAAGTCTTAAGAAATGCCTATGATCTTACGGTACCACTACATTTGAAAACTCAGGGCTCCAATCACATGTAACTGTCAAAAACAGTTCTCCCGAACTTTAAAAATGACAGTATATAAGCAAACGACTCCAATTTTATCAGTTCATAAATCTGACACTTTATTAGCAGGGCTTGTTATTCCTCATTTGTTCTTGTCAAATACTGAAGCCACCTTACAAAACATGCCAAGCTCTGCCTGAGCTGCTCTGTGAAGGCATTACACCGTGAGATGTGACCCACTTGCAATAAAGTGCATTCAGAGTTCAGTTCTCATGGCAGATGAGAAGCGATGTTGGGCAAGCACAGCTGAGAGATTGTCATCACAGTATAGTTGATTTGAGGAAAAACTTAATGTGACATGAACTAGAGGGGGATCTTTTTAAAAAATGGGGGAGGGGGGGTGACAGTGGAATTGTCAAGACAACAAAGAGACATGGGAGTGTGGATCCTATAGTCTTTGTGTCAAATCAGGAATGTCACAGTTGAGCACAGTGCTTCATGAGGAGGGTCGTTCTTTCTGAGGGTTAGACGTGTTGTTCTTGACTTTACCCAGGCACCCAGCTCTGGTTGCTATGGGCTTGCTGTGGACCAGCCAGTCCACTCATTCCCATCCCCATACCCATAGTCACACCCATTCCCATACCCATGCCGATGCCCACACCTTGAGCTAACGAGCAGTCAAAGTTAAAGTCCATCTCCTCCCCAGAGTCCATGATATCATGGAGGAGGATGGACTCCACATCGCAGTCTAAGCTGCCATGGAACATGTCAATGTCCAGGTCAGCTGGTAGTCTCTCATGGGGGTGAGGTTGGTGATAGCCATGGTAGTTGCTACCAGCGGTACCACTGCCCATCCCGAGGCCATGGTGATACGGTCCATTACTCATGCCTTGGTGTTGTGGGTCTGGGTAATGGTTGTGACGTGGGTGGGGAGCTGTGGCAACATGGCACGAGTCCTGGGGCATGCCGAGCATACCTGCTGGATTTGGGGGGAGGGTGGTAGAAGCAGGAAGGTGGGCATGTGACGGGGGGCTGTACAGGTAAGGAGCTTTGTGGTTGTAGGTCTGCAACTGATTGCTGCTGCCACGTGGGGTCAGGGCAGCAGCCCGGGGTGGTGTGTGGTTATGGCTCTGGCTGAGGCTGTGACCATTGTGAGTGAGGCTGTGAGGTGAGTTGTGGTTGGTTACATTGTTGTGATTATGACTGGGAGTATGGCTGTGAGTTCTGTTATGGCTATGAGTTGAGCTGTGACTATGCAGTCCATTGTGGCTGTGGCCATTGTGGAGGCCGGGGTGGTGGCTGTGATGGTTGGATCCAACTCCATTTGTAACTTGATTCATCAGAGAATGGCTTTCCCTCTCCTGTCCCAGCATCATGTCCTTGGGACAGTATTGCTGTCCAGCTGGACCCCCTGTTAGCAGACTCTGAAGGGCATTAGTGCTTGAGTATGCTCGCATGGTTCCAGAGAAACTGGCTGGTTTGTTCTCCTGAATGGTCTGCATGGGTGAGTGGTGACGCAGCATCCCCATGCCTGTTGCCCCATAGACACTTGAACCATAGGAGCCCTGTCCTTTCACTCCAGAGTTGTAGTGATAGACAGCAGTTTGGTGCTTATGTCTGCCAATAGCTTGATGCTGCTGGTGTTGCTGCTGCTGTGAACGATGATGATGATAACCATCCTCCATCATCTGCTCATCCAGACTGATGGCACCTGTCAGGTTAGCCAGCTGAGGCAGCTGCTCAAGAGGAGGACAGTGATTTCCAGCACCCATGGATGGAGAGCGTGCACTAGTTGGCGACGGGTAGAGGTGAGGGGAGGTGGAACAGGACAGGCCGCCCTCCTCTGGTTCCTCTGGTTCTCCCTCTGCGAGGATGGGTGACAACCGTCCACTAAGGGTAGACGCTGATGAACTAGCCCTGGAATGGAGGTCTGTCCAAGCATCAAACTCACCATCTGTTCCAGATGCACCTCCGGCTCCTTGGAGGCCTTTCCGTGAAGGGCTGCCATGATCAGGGGAGCTCTGGAGCCCCACACTAGCAGACCCAGCTCCAATCCCAGGGCGGCCAACCCTCTTGCCTCTGATCCGGCCTTTGCTTTTTAGGTATTTTGTGCTGTTGTCCATAGAGACTGCTCGTCTCCGCGGGGCTTTGCCCATTTTTCCTCCATCTGGATTGAGCATCCACCAGGAACTCTTCCCTGTACCCTCATTCTGCACCCGGATGAAGCGTGTGTGAAGGGACAGGTTGTGTCGGATTGAATTCTGCAGAAAGATAAAAGAGAAAGAAAAATATAAAACTAAACTGTAATATAATGAATGTCATTTCAATTACTATTTATGTAAAAATGTAAACAATTCAAATAAGGGAAATGTGCATAAGATTTAGATTAAAAAGTTCTACACGAAAATAAGATTGTTTTTAATACATCAAGTATTAAAGTCAGTGCTCAAGAAAACCTTAACCACAAGCACAGCTGTCAGTATTGCATATAAACCATCCGGTCCATACATGATGAGTCACAGAAAATTGTCCTAAATTATCAGGTCGCTTCCGTTCCCAATATTAGATGCACAAAACCAGAGTCGACTAAAATCAGGAAATTTAGAGCTCACTGAAAAGCACAAACATGCTCAAATAACAGCTACAGCTGGCATAAAGCAACACCCTGTCAGTCTTATCCCACCTGAAATGACCGAAGACTCCGACTTTAGACATTCTCCCTATGTACGTCAATCCTCCCACTTTCATTTCCATCAATCCATCTGTCCTCCTCTACTTCTGCTTTTAGCTGGCCTGATGTAAACCACTGAGGTTAGCTGTACTGTATGTTTGAAGTTGGTGCCAGCCTGGCTTAGTGCCAGCTCTGTCTCTTTCCTTCACGTAGGTTGAATGGGGGGATGTATCGCAAGATTGAGCCGGGAGGAAGGAGGGCTAATGGATGTATCTCACCCTCTGACAGACCTTCACTGCCTATCTCCCTTCCCCTCCCTTGTTCTCTCTTTATCACAGTCCTGTATTTCTTTTTTGTCACTAAATGCTTCATATTTCAACTTGTCTCAATTTTCCTTTTTCCTATTTTACACACTTCTTTGAACGCAAGTCATTTCCAACTTCTGGCTTCAATCTCTATGCCTTCAATTATACAGTGTGCCACCAATTACTTTCCCATTATCCTCTACACTGGCATGGGTTGGGGTTAGCCAGTGACTCGGTCATTCAAAGGATATAGTTTCTATTTTTTAATCATTTATATCTCAAGGGTTGGTGAATAATAGCGATTTCCGAGTGTCAGGGAATCTGTTGTTATAATTCTGCTGTTTGTGCTGCATAAGTAATTTAGATGCTCAAGCAGGACAATATCAAATCAAAAAGCATCTCCTGCAGTTTGGGAATATACAGATACAATGGATTGTTTCGGACTGAGGGGTACTCACACCACTATCTTCATTATGTTGCACATTATTTGTATTTAGAGCGAATTGCACGGCAGGGAAACAAATCAAATTGCGACGGTGAACATATAAACGGGAGGTGAGCTGAATTCAGGTGATCTGTGAATGCCTCCTTGGGTTATTTCACCGTGACACCTCCAGAACTGGGTAACCATGGCAACCGGGTAAACGCGCAATGGCAGAACTATATCATATTGTGGTAAGAGTCAAGAGAGTCAGAGAGAGAAATGGAGGGAGAGTGGGGGATGGGGGAAAGGATGCAAGAGGAGGCGGCTGTTTGATGCTGCTGCTCCAACACTAAACAGCCTTTCATCTTGGCAGTGCAAGTCCGCAGGGGATGCCCGCTCCCTGCTTCTGACGGCTTCTCTACGTGCCGCGCCAACTCCCTGTCTCACCCTGGCTGGCTCATCCACCTATCATACCACTCCAAATCATCCCCCATCAAGTCCGGTGCATGCCCGAATTAAAACATATGTAAGCATTCATGCCTTTCCATCGCGGCCGGTGGTAAATGAGGCATCTTTCAGAGAGCTGAACCACTTCATGCCACAACTCTGTGTGACCTGTCTGATTCAAATCTCGATTTATCCCCGTATGAGGGAAGAGCAGCCCCATTGAACTTGGAGGGATTTGTCATCATCCCAAACCCTCTTTATCTGATGAATCCACCTGCTAGAGAGATTTGAGAGATTTCGGATGGTGGCCAGCAACGGCATCATCATCATTACTGGCTGCTGGCTTTCGATAGTTTTCTACCACATGTTTTTTGCTGTCATCCTGTTTGCATGTATTTGTGTGTGTGCTAGAATTTAAGATTACAAAGGTTGCAGGTGGTTTCATGGTGGGTGTGGTTCTGTCTGCCTCCTGTTCTCTGAGTCAGGGGCAATTTGACCAGCCTCTGGCCCTCACGCCCCTGAAACAGGCAGTCACTGCTAATCCCTCTCCATCCCCGAGTAATCCCAGACAATCCTGGGCTAATCCCAAGTTGATTCAGGGGCACTCCCAGCTGGGTGTCTCACACAGAGCTATGCCAGGTTACCACATACACAGCAGGCAGCTTGGATATGCTATGATCCTATAGTAGCAAAAAGTAAGGGGAGTTTGATGTGGGAAACAGGGACACTATAAAAACCTTATAGGATATGGTTAAAAACTATGCCAAATGTTCCTGTGTGTATTTTTACTGTATGATTTCTGAGGCAGGTGTTAATTATATTTTTAATTTCTCCAACAAATCAACTACCTCCAATTTGTGCTCTGTCCTTGAGGGTTGGCTTTGTGACATTCTTTAGCCCTATGGGTTAAAGAATAGAATAAAATTGAAAACTTTATTATGCATTAAATATTCATAAAATGGAAATTCTCTTTTAGCCCCCTGGCTTGCTGAGACAGTCCGATGAAGCCCACAGAAACATACAATGACAGAGGAACACACATCACATGCCTGGGTTCAGCACGCTACTTCCTATTCAAATCATACGCCTTTAATACAATGAGGCTAGTGGAGAAGGCTCTAAATAATGAATGAACCAGTGGGTCATGTGGCGACATCCAGTGCTGGTACCATAATGCTGGAACGAACAAGATGGAGTCATAAGAACTGATGTGACTTCTTTGTTTCATAATCAAGAACTTTTTTTTTTTTTCAGTTATTAGAACTGAACAGGCCCTTGGATGAGAGGTAAAACGTCACAAACCACAAAAAAAAAAAAGAGTTGCTTTTCATTAAGAATTGCATGACCTGGTTGACTGAGAACCTGCACAGACATATAAAGAGCATCCACCCTCATCAAATACTGCTAAATCAGGCTGTAAGGAGTTAATTTGGCCACTAAGTAAAAGAGGCTAAGGGTGATAGTTTATGGACCAATCAAAGCCAATTAAGGTGAACAAGGCTTTTGTGACTGCAAGGAAACAATCAGCTTGGGTTCAACTCTCATTAAGGCCCAAAACACCTGATAGCTGATTTAGACATTTAGACAAAGGCAACGGGATAGGACTCTTTGTCCTCAGATTAAAAGATTATGTTCTTTCCGAGCAAATCTCCCATGTTGACACTTTTTCCACCCTGCACAGGTGGACTAAGCAGTTGGGGGTGGGAGTTCAACTGGTTTTTATAACAGATACAGAAATCTATAAATCAAATCTAGCAGGAACATCCTTATGTGTTCCTCTTTCCTAACCTCTTCAAGAACCATTCATTTGGCTTTTGGAAATCTCACAACACCAATCAATGGCTCTACAGTTCTCCCTCCTTTCTTCCACATGCAAACTCAGTTTGATTCAGAGACTAGAGAGGCCTACTTAATGCTCAAAATCAATGACGTTTAATGCCTGTCAGTGCGCACATCAACATCTGACTAACTACACAATCCACCTGCAATATGAGGCCAATATGGGTGTTCAATATTCCATGTCCCCACTGGTCATATAACAATGTTAAATCGCCACAGGCTTGTGAGTTAGCTGTCTTTTCCCACTTGCACAAATTGGCTTAATGCCCAACATATCCCTCTGTTGCCACTCCCGAGATGTCAGTCAGGCATTAACATTGGGAGTAGCTGTAATATGGGGGTAGGAGGTATTGTGTTGGATGCAGTGATTCATCTGGGATAACCTGATTGACTGGCATGGGTTCAGCTGTGCTGGGGGATACAGCAGGAGGTGAAGGGTCCTGGGTATAAGGGGCGGGAATATAGCGGTAGCACAAGGGGCCCCTCTAAGCCACACAAATGGGTGCCCTCAAAATGCCCCCTACTTTCCCCATCCCCCTCCATTAGGGCAACATCAGAATCCACTCAGGGTTTTTTCCCGCTCACTCACAGAGGAGTGAGGAAACAGGTCAAATGGTTTATAAGACCCATCTTGTGGTGAATGTGCACTCATTCAAACAGAACTTAGTGAGAAACTAAGGACTGTGAATGAGGTCTGGGAACCAGCAAAAAGAAACCACTCACCCGATTCAAACAACCTCAAGAGTAAAGCAGTGTGGTGCGCTTGCCCAGCTAAGAACACAGCAGCTGTTCTTGTAGTGGCACCGGGTAAAACCGTTTGCCACACTCGACTGGTATTACCAAACCATTTCATGCAGAATGGAGCCATTATGTATTGTCAAAGGGTATCCCTCTATGGTGCACATTCATTTGATAAGCCTAAATCAAGGGGGAGTAACAGAAGCGCTAACTGTGTTTATTGTAATGCTGTTTTTGCCTGTGCAGAAGGCAGGAGGGATCAGGGGGAGGGGAGGTTTCAACACAAGCAGTTTTGTTCAGCGCAGGAATGAGTTTTGTCAGCTAAGCCTGTCTCCAGGCTATTGGTGGAAATTAGCGCCAGCTAAATATTCGCTTTCCGTGATTGATGTCACGGCTCGCGTTGTCCCTTTGAAGGGAAATAAAGAATTTAGAGCCATGTGGATTAATAGGGACAGGGTTGGGGGAATTTTATGTGTCTGAGGGGGACTTGAAGAGCGACTGAAGGGCCTAATGGCGGCACAGATATGGCACAATGAAGCTGTGACGATATGGTGTGTCAGAGAGAAGGAAAAGACAAGTGAGACTATGACAGTGAGTACAAGAAAGAAAATTGGAAATGGTTTGCGCGGGTGTGTGTGTGAGAGAGAAAAAGAGAGATGTAGCTATTTGCCTGAGAAGCCCAGAGTCAGATGATTAAAATCCCTTTAGGAGGCTTCTTTAAGAGAGACAGATGGGCAGACAGGCCTGTTTTGGAATGCAATCAAATTGAAAAGATTAAAAAGGAGTCTCTTTTATTAGGAGGTGAGAAACAGTTACTTCTCTGCCACATGCCATCAT